CATTTAAAAACATACAAATGGTGTTTTCAGTGTTTTCTTAGAATTTTTTTCAAAATTTAGAAACTTGTTTTCAAAATTTAAAATAATAAAAAATTATGAGTTTCACGTTTTAACCTACAGCAAAGAAAGCATTCATGTTTATCTTTGTAATTAATCAAAAGAATATCAATGCTTTGCAAAATCTAGACTTTAATGGAAAAATCGACTCTAAAACCTTCAAAGCTTATGTTTCTGTCACGATCAGAGGAAAAGCGATAAGAATCAGAGTAAGAGAATTGGGGAAATCAAAGAAAGGGTTAGGGATTTGGTATTGGGAATGGACCTAACATGTTTTACAGCCCACTAAGGATAAGAAACATCTTGCTTAGTTGTGCAGGTGGTTATACTCAATACAACAAGGACTGCCAGCTGTAGGGTAACTATGGGAACACTGTAATTATATAAACCATGTACTAGAGGAGATAAGTGTGCTTTGATTGAATGAATTCTAAGCTTCTTGAATCTATTTATTTCTTTCCTTAATCTTAATTCTCTCAATTCTTCGTCTAATTTTCTTCTCTAATCTCCTAGGGTCATAACAATTGGTATACAGAGCCACAACTCCTGGCAAAGCAATGGCTGCATACTCTGTTTTTTCTGCGATTCAACAGCAGATTGAAGACTTATCAAAGCTAGTAAAGCAAGATCAGTACCTAGAGACAATGATTACAATGAATAAGGGTCGTTTGGAGCATATTCTAAGGAACTTGACAGGAAGGACAGATGACCAGGAACCACTAAGCCCGAAAACTGAGCAAATTCATAAAGAGAAAAAAATGGGTCAGCGTTCACTTGGAGAGTCTAAACCCTTATTCTTTACTCCTAAAAAAATATTAACAGTGGCAATAGATGAAACATATGATGTTTCACAAGTGTTTGATAAAATGTCAGCAAGAGTAGATCATGTGGTATTCCCATCCATCACTAGTTCTATGAAGGTTGATTCACGGTTGCAGCAGAAACAAACCACGAAATATGACAAGGCTGTTATGAGGGTTGAGTTAAATTTTGAACAGAGACATCAACTTCAAAATCAAATGAAGATTACAGATGTATTAAGAAAGAGAATCACCCCTTGTTATGATACAGGATGGAGGGTGGACCATTATCAACTGGGGAATATTGGAGATGCAAACGTGAAAGCTAAAAATGGGAAAGAATTAATGGCGGACTCTGAAACAAGGTTGGTTCAGAAAACTATCAATGCATGCTTTTACCAACACTGTCTCAATTTGCAACCTAATCATTCCCAAGCATTTACCAACCTAGGGAATATATATATGGAATGGAACATGGTTGTTGTTGCTTCTTACTATAAGGCTACATTGGCTGTCACAACATTCTGCCAGGTACTGTATGATACTAATGGCTTTCTGGAAAAGAATAGAGATCCTCTGAACTCGGGGTTGGTCCAACTTCTGTCATCATGTAGTGGCCAATTGCCGCAATCATTTGCTAAAAAAATGTTTGACCAGTCTTTGAAACCAACGATTTCATCTGAATACACGAAGCTAAGTGTTGTTATGAAATTCAAGGGCTAATTTTTCGAACTAATGCACCAGTTAAAGAATACAACACCTCACTTTATTCGTTGCATAAAACCAAATTGCAAGCAGGTCCCTGACAAGTATGAAGAGGATGTTGTCCTGCACCAACTTAGATATTGTGGAGTTTTGAAGGAGGTTAGAATTTCAAAATCAGGATATCCAACTCGAATGACACATCAGAAGTTTGTAGAAATGTATTGGTTCCTACTTTCGGAGACCAACACACCTCACGATCCATTAAGCATTTCAGTTGCTCTTCTAAAACAATTTAACGTCCTCCCTGAAATGTATTAAGTTGGCTATACGAAACTATTTCTTCGAACCGGACAAATCGATGCATTGGAGCATAGGAGAAAACATGTGTTGCGAAGAGTAATTGGGGTTCAAAAGTACTTCCGCAGTCACCGAGCTCGTTGCCTTTTCCTTGAGCACAACAAAGGAGCAAAAAATATACAATCACTTGTTTGTGGTGAAAGTATCCGAAGAAAGTATGCTATTGAGGCCAATAGGTGCTCAGCATTTGCTTCTCAGTTACTTGATGAGCAGTTGACATCAGTTGTAAATTTACAATCTGTAATCCGTTGGTGGTTAGTCAGGAGAGATTTTGATAACAATCATAATTCAAAACAGTTGAACCATATAAGCATAAAATCTAAACGAAGGACTGGTAGGAAGCTTTTTGAGGCAAAGGTATTCCCCACGGTTGACATGGAAACACCACATGAGCAGCATATTCAAGTTGTACCTTCTGTTATGGCAGAGCTTTAAAAAAGGGTACTCAAGGCAGAAGCAAATTTGGCTTCTTCTTATAAAGACAGTGTAGATGTGGAAACTGCCGTCAAAAGTTATAAGCAAACACTGTTTTTTCGACCTAATTTTCCTGAAGCTACTTGTAACCTCCTACATACATTACAGTGTGTGCGCAACTGGGAGGAACGCAATAAAATGTTTATTGAAGTTAAAGGAATTATCCGAAGGCACATTACTATGTCAGTTCATTTCAGTGTGCAACTTTTCTATGCCATAGCTATTCTCAAGTGCGTACCAAATAGTGTACATTGGCTCCTTAGATTTCCAATTGCTAGAGAAATGAGGCTGCGAGCGTATGCTGCTGCAGAAGGAGTACAACCAAACCAAATTATTTTCACTGATGTGACCATAAAACAAGAACATAGTAGGCACAATGCTTTAGTTGATCTATGTCTTGACACGACTTTATGCAATACATATACTACTGGCACAAATGTGTTATGGGTTGGCTTACCTATGGTAACTCTGCCTCTAAAAAAATGGCTACAAGGTTTGTTGGATCACTTTGTCTAGCTACTGGTTTGGGGGAGGATATGATTGTGCATAGTATGAAGGATTACGAAGAAAGGGTGGTTGAATTCGCATTAAATAGACCAAGGCTCCAATCTCTGACCAGCAAGCTCAAGGAAGTTCGTATGACCTGGTCGCTTTTCAATACAACACTCTGGGTGCAAAATCTGGAGAGAGCATACTTCACAACGATTATTGAGGGCATGATAGGATATGTTCATCTTCCAACTATAATTCTCAAACCCAAGGAAAACATGAATCAAATGTTAAAGGCATGGGGTGTGAAAGCACAAAGCAAAATGGAAATTTATAGAAATTTGAAGGTCGGGGGCCGAGTTTACTTGAAATTCCAGTCTTACCATCAAGCCTCACTTGCTCTTCGAAAGGGATTAAAGTTGGCAGCAAGGTTCTATGGTTCTATAATACTCGAAAAACGTAGGGAGCAGGAGCAAAATCAGATGCAGTGGATGAAATTAGGACTGGAAAACGTCACTGTGGTAAATTATATTGTACTTCCAGCACAATTCTTAGATTTTGATCCTTGGGGACAAGGATCATTTCGTGGGGAGGGTATTGTCACGATCAGAGGAGAAGCGATAAAAATCAGAGCAAGAGAATTGGGGAAATCAGAGAAAGTGTTAGGGATTTGGTATTGGGACTGGACCTAACACGTTTTACAACCCACTAAGGATAAGAAACATCTTGCTTAGCTGTGCAGGTGGTTATACTCAGTACAACAAGGACTGCCAGCTGTAGGGTAACTATGGGAACACTGTATTATATAAACCATGTACTAGAGGAGGAGAAAGTATGCTTTGATTGAATGAATTCTAAGCTTCTTGAATCTATTATTTTCTCTCCTTAATCTTAATTCTCTCAATTCTTCGTCTAATTTTCTTCTCTAATATCCTAGGGTCATAACAGTTTCCCTTGTCACTCATAACTCGTACTTTGAAGATTTTTGTATAGCAACGATGTTTATATATGTTTTGCAAAAATTTATGATATAATTAGAGAATCTAAAATTTATGATAACTTGTGATAATAGCTATTTCTTTTGTATCACATTTAATTATTTTTTTTACAAGAAAAAGATTGTAATCTTTTTTATTTATTTCAAAACTTTCATTTATTTAATCATATATTATATTATTGTTACTATATTTTCTAATATTTATATTTTATTTTAACTATTTAATAATTATTTGTTTATTTTTATTTTAGAAAATTGAGTACCAAACACATTTTCATTATTTTCATTTTTGAAAATAAGTTTTATTTTTATTAACAAAACATGTTTTCTATTTCTTGGAAAACTAAAAATAAATTTTTTTTTTTAAAATAAACAAAAAAACAAAAAATATTTTCTATAACCAAACGGACCTTATGTGAGAAGTTCGAATTTTGACATTAATGTGCATCACAATTTGGCTCTGCTACTAGTGCATATTGTAGGCTTAGGTTGTTTTTCAGTTTTGCTGTAAAACCTTGCAGACAGTGTGTAATAATATTTTCTGTAACCAAACGGACCTTAATTTTTTTTTTTTTTGCAAATAGGTCCTCAAGCATGTACCGCACTCACTCATAACTTCTGTAATTGTCCAACAATGGTGTGAAAAGAAATAATAATAAAAAAGAGCATGAAACCTAGAAGTCAAAGTTATTGCCTAAAAAACAACAAAATTAAAATTAAGGGTAAATTATGTATTTAATTACTATCTATATATGTAGTTCTATTTGATCACTTATTTAAAAAAATTAAAACTAATGTTACGTTTTGGTTCTCTTTTAGTCACCAGTTGTTAAAAAATAAACAGATGAGTAACTAAAATAGAATCAAAATGTAACGTTAGGAATGATTTTGAGAAAAAATAGTTGAATAATCAGTATAGAACTACTAAAATAGATTAGTGACTAAATACATAATTTACCCTAAAATTAATTATTTACAAAGAACAAAATTACATTTCCACAATAAGTACAGTATGACATCTGACCTCCAAAATTTTTGCTACATGATCATGTGGGATTCAAGCATATACCTGGATCCAAACTCTGTCATGTCCGGGATTCGGATGTTATTAATCCGAACTACCGACTCCCGGCAGATTAAAAGGAAGTACCCGAACCCTGAATTTTTCTCAAAGCATTTGATATGAAACTGTCTGTGCTGTATGATCCTGATGAAGTTGCTGTTCCAAGCACATTAGCATTCAAGAATGGCGGCTGGTTCGGCATCGGAATCTCGTAATCTGTACCAGTTAACATCTGAACCACTTCCGCCATAGATGGTCTTAAGAGAACCGAAGCTTGTGTGCACAATAGCCCAATTTGAAGCACACCGGGGGCTTGTTTTGCAGACATTCATTTCTTATGCAAGGGTCAACAGCTTCATCCATTGCATTTGATTTGTAAAGTGTCCAAACCTGAGGTTTAAGAAGATGTCAAATTCAGTGATCTAAGAGCAACAAAATGTACTAATCCGAAATAAAACTTGGGAACTTACTGTTTGTAGAAGGGACTTTGTGAAGCTGCTGTTCTTTTTACCACATACAATCTCAATAACAAGTACACCGAAGCTATAAACGTCGGCTTTCTCGGAAAGTTGTCCTCGAATGAGGTACTCCGGTGCCATGTATCCGCTGCAAGAAAACCCGAAACCATGTTTTTAAGAACGCTTTAATGGAAATATCATATGTGATATCAGATAATTCTTTCTCTAAACTTACAGTGTTCCAGCAATCCCGGTGCTAAGATGACTCTTTTCGGTACCTATACATCGAACGAGACCGAAATCGGCGATCTTCGGATTGAGATTCTCGTCTAAAAGAACATTGCTGCACTTAATGTCCCTGTGGATTATCCTTATGTGAGAACCTCCTCCGTGAAGATGAGCAAGACCCTCGGCCGTTCCGGAGATGATATCAAACCTCTGCTTCCAGTTTAGAAGTTTCGACTTCTCCTCATCTGCATATGAAAACTAAAATCATTTACACATTTGAGATAGGCACTAGAATTTAATTGATTAAAGAGCAAAACATTACCAAAAAGGAACTGATCAAGGCTCTTGTTGGGTACATATTCATAGACCAGGAGACTTTCAGGGCCCTCAATGCTTGCACCAAGAAGCTTCACCAGATTCTTGTGTTGAATTATGCTGATCAAATTTACTTCATTAAAGAAGTCATCAACCCATTGTCTGGTATTATATATCAATCTCTTTACAGCTACAGTTCTTCCATCAGGAAGAATCCCCATGAACACTGAACCAGCTCCTCCTTGGCCTAATTTCCTTGAAGGACTGAAATAATCTGTTGCTTTCTCGAGAGTTTCGTACTTGAACTTCAAACCCGAGCGGTCGAACCTTTTCGAAATTCGGCTGAGATTCTTTAGCTCTGGGAAATGAATTTGATGGTTCATATAGAGCAGAGGACTAATGCATAAAATTGGAAACGGAACACCATTGGTATATAATTTTGTACCTCTTTTCCTCTTTGATAATCTTGCATATATAGCATAAGCTGCTGAAACTGAAAGTGTTACGAATGCAGACGATGCCGAGACGATTGAGATGATGACTCCGATTGAATAGCCTGGAAAAGAGAAGAAGAACACACTGTAATCATTAAAATCAATCTCAAAATCTTCAAAAGAATGAAGAAAATGGCAGAAGACTTACCATGATGGCCCTCAGAATCTGCTCCTTCATTATAGAATCTACTTGTGGAGTACCTCAAATAACACCCTGCATTCAAAGCTCTGCCTTCATCGTTGGGAACGCATCTTCTCACCGTCTCCGACGCATTCTGCAGGCACTGCCGACACTCTTCCGGCGTAAGACTCTCCCAACACTGCGCCAATGCGTACACTCCGTCCATCCCCACCACTCCAAATCCATTTCTTCTCAAAGCGATACTCGTTACGTTCCCGACCGCATGATCGACGTTTCTACCGAACAAAATCATCCTGATGTTGCGATCATGATCGACTGTTGTTGCGTTGTTGGAGCTGCAATTTACGGTGTCGAAAGTTGGCGAAAAGGATTCGTGAAAGAAGTCCCGATTATATTCGTAACGCAAGAAGCAACCGTCGAGAAAGATTCGAGCCGAGCGAGGAAGACAACGCGGGATTCGAGTCCTTGCCTCGGCATGACAAAGGAGGCAATCGGTTTGGTCCAAATCTTCGTGGCACTGAGCCAATCCATACATCGGAGGCGTGGAGTTGAGATGATAGGAAGCAAAGTGATTGTCGTTCATCTGGTTTGACAACTGTTTCATCAATTCAGTGAAATTCGGAACGTAATTCGTCCCGTTTGGCGCCTGGGAATCGCCGCAGAAAAGCCCGGCGTTCGTGAGTCTTGGATCAGAGAAAGACGTGGGAATTAGAAAAGAAAAGAAAATCAAGAAAACCCATCTCCAGTATGAATTTTTTAAGGCTGAAACCCAATAGATTTCATGCTTAGCCTTCAATTCTCCTTCTTTTTAATTTTTCCTGGGTTTTAACTTAGTTTTTGTTGGATGGAACTGAAAGAGACGAAGAACAAGGAAGATGGTGGTGTTTGAAGCTGAGTTTTAGGTTGTGGTTTTAACCTCAGGGAGGCTAAATTTGACCATTTTCGGGCGCTGAAAAGCTTCCATATATTTCCAGGGAAAGGAAGATCATAGAAGAAATTCTGCACCAATCAAATGAATTTTCCTTGGCTTCTTTTGTCTCTTTTGAGCAGAAGAAAAGATGGTTCATTGAGACAAAGCTGAAAGCTCAAAATGGTTTAACGTTGAACTGAAACGAAGACTTGGAATGGAAAACAATGAAAAAGGCAGACGACCACTATTCAAAATAATAGAAAGAGGGATAAAAATAACTTTTAGTCCTTAAGCTTAGAGAATTTTCACAATATAGACCTTAATTTTTTGTCCAATGTACATATTAACCCTAAATTTGACAATCGTTTTCATTGTTAGTCCTTATAAAAATGTGACATTCTAATCTGTGTCATATAATTTAAAAATCACAGTAGACAACATGAAAAAAAGACAACTTATAAACTACAAAGTTAATTGACGCAGTCTAAAGATGTGAAAGGAATATTCTAAATACCATCACATAAAAGATAATCAACAAATAGTTTCAATCCTTTAAGAATCAAGACTTTACATATCAGCAATTAATATTCTTTTGTTTCTGGTTTTCTCTTATAGTTTTCCCTTGTTAGTAAGCCGTTTATCTCTTTTATTTTTATTTTTATTGATCAATAATGACACTAATTTTAATGTTGATTATCGACAATCAATATTTTTTATTGTCCTTTCATTTTCTTATATTACATCTTTATTTTCTTTTGTTTTTTATTTTTAACAAGTCTGTTTGTATGTCACGTTTTCATATGTCTTTATGTTATATTTTTTTGTCTTTTGACACGTTTTTCGGTCATTTGGTTGTTGTTTTCACTTATATTTTTCTAATGGTTGATCTAACATCGCCACGACTGATCAAGATGACGTTTATATGTTATATTGTTGATCTTCACTGCTTTGGACCCTCGGATTAAATTTGTAAACCCGTTATGTGTTCGTAGATAACTTTTCACGTCGCTCGAGTCTGATTTACGGTTTGTCAGTAATATTTCAGTAGCTTGATCTCCTTTTAAGGTTCGTTTGCCGATGCGATCAGATCTATTTGTATCTATCTTTGTTCGAGTTTTATTAGTTAGGTTTTAATATTTATTTGTATGGTCCTTATGTGATCTTAAGTTGTTAGTTTGTTCGAATAATAATTATAGGAAATTATTGCTTAATTTACCATTATGATAGTAAATATTTATTATAATTTAGGATATTTCCTATTTTGAATAAAATTAATGATTTCTTTAAAAAATATATAATAAAATAATAACAAGATAAACTACACAATTATTTTTAAAAAATAATATTTATATTTTATTATTTTAGTTGTTAATCGTTAAAATTAATTTACATATCCAATTTACTCCATTTACATTTTTAACATAATCTTAAGAAGATGACATAGTATAATCTAAATATAAATTTTAATAAAAATCTAATAAATTTTTAGTCTAACTCGATGCTTAGACTCTGAATACTAATATAAGAGGTTTAAGGATCAAATCCCCTTCTTCAAACCAAAAAATAAAAAAAATATCGACGATTACAATAAAAATAATATTAATGATGGGTAATAATATTAATGATCGAAATATAAAAGAAATAATATATTGATGATTATTAATATAATTTACTTTAATTTTAGATATTTTATTATATAATTTTTTTAAAATTTGAAATTATTTCCATTGATCATTTTCTTCCAGAAAATAATGTAATCATGAAGATTGAAATTTGGGTCTTTTTGACTTGTTCCTTACACATTAATCAATGCCTTATGAAACAGTTTGTTTTTAAGGCAATTGTTTTTCTAATAAAAATATTTTATTATTTCTATTATTTATTTTTTAAGAGGACTTTGTACATTATCAACCTCACACTATTTTTTGTATTTAAATATTATGTATCGATCTTTCAACGATCATAATTTATACTTTCTAATTATCTCGATAAGATTTTGCCCGAATATGCAAGTCTAGTAGGCTAAATTTGTATATGTCGTCAAATAATAATCAAATAGATAGAGGAGATCTTAGGAGAAAAATGAAAAGTGATGTTGGTTTTTTAATCTTTAAGGGTGTATTTCAATTATTTTTCGATATACGGTGTTTCATATTTATTGCATCATTTGTTAATAGAATCAAGTAGATTGTGATGGTTATTGGTACTTCAACCTTTATGTTTTGAACATAAAAATGCAACCAATGAAAAATTAGCTGTTGATTAGTGTCAATGAATCATGTATCTATAAAGAGATAAAACATAGAAGAGTTAAGATGAGACGGTTTCATTGAGATCGCATCCCTTCTATCGGTCATCATCGAGAGGTTACATAGAGATTCATTAGTGCGTGTGTCGGTTGTAAGAATATAATGGCTACTAGTATGATAGCATGCTAAACGAATTCGATCAGGTGACGTGGATTTGATTATGACAGATCATGTAAGCCTCTCATAAATCATATTAACTAGTCATGACTTACCAAGAAATTTTAGATATTTAAAATCCTTCTTTCGAAGATGTTTCCTCTATATCATCCAGAATTTCAAGATATCAGATATTTAAATGTGTTTTAAGTTCTTTCAATTATTGTGAGGCACGAAAATGACAAGTGTAAAGAATTTTAACAAAAATACAAAAAATTTGTTGAAATATTGTACATATGTTATGAAAATTTAGACCATATATTTTTATAAAAAAATATTTATATATTTAATTAATATTTATAAATATTTGTGACGACAATAAAAGCGCAAGAAGTACCGACATCCCTTTTGTTCCTGGGGTGCGGAAGGAGCATCCCTGTTTTTCTGGTCAACACCTTTTTCTTTATATTGAAGAAAAATAGAGTAAATCGCCTGTTCAAAGTTAGGGTGACAAATTTGACTTTCCTTTGCCAACTTGATTTTGCGTGTCAATTTTCTTTCACATCCACCAAAATCGAACCACCATTTCCACCTTTTTCTTTATTGGATAAACTACACCACCCATCCTGCCAACAGATGTTTACAATAATCACACCCTTTTCCATACACTAATTGTAAGTTTTATTCACATCCGATTACATTTAATATATATTATAAAATTAATACAAATACGCGTTAATATATATATATATATATATATATATATAGATAATTATTATATGTGAAATAAAAAGCTTCACTAGAGGGATTTACGATGCATTTATGAGCCCTTTATTTTTTTTATTATTATTAGACAATGACAACATCCTAAATTTACTTATAAAATTTTCATTCTAATGATAGTGCATATAATATTTATCTAATAATTAAATATACTAAACTGAAGACATAATGTTAAAATTACTCTTTCAATATTTATTAAAATTGTCATTTTAACTTTTACTTTTTGGGAGTATATTGGTCCCCCAACGTTTTATTTTGGAGTAAAAAACCTCCTCTATAGATGGAAACCATTAGTTAAACATAATTTAAGTTACAAAATTGAAGTCTTTTACACTAAAATGAAACGTTGATGACCAAAATATTCTAAAAAAAAGAATAAAGGTCAAAATGACTATCATGTCAAATGTTAGGAGTCTTGTTACCCTGAAATAAAACACTAGGTCTAAGATACTCCAAAAATCATATAGACCAAAATGATCATTTTGATAAATGTCGAGGGACTGATTTTAACATGATGCGTAAAATGAAGTGTTATGTTATTCTCTGTCAATGATTTTTTTTTAACTCCACAACTAATATTAGATGAGTAAATTGTGTCTATTTTAACCTTTTAATATAACCTAAAAGCACATAATAGTATTTCACCATTGTAAATATAAATACGAGGAAGAATAAAAACTAAATGCAACTTTAAGTGAACCTTCTTTCAAAGAGCAAAAGTTACTTTTGAATTTAATTTCTCTTCGAGACATCTTTCCAAAGTTGAAGCTAATCACAAAGAAAACATCAGTTCTTATTCATAAAAATGCTGAAAATAGCATGACTAATACATAAATATTAGTGGATTAAAGTGGACATAATCAACCTCAAGTTGTTAGAAGAAAATGATTAATCTCTAAGATCAACATTAATAACCGATGCTATCAAATGATCCGAGTTTAAAGAGATTGGATACGAAATTATTTATTGCATTCGACTTAAAATAATAATAGTATGTTTTTAAATTGTTTGGAATAATACTATTACAAAATAGAACGTTAGTATTGATTAGATGAATAAAAATAATTCACATATTATTTGTACCGTAAAAATTACGTTTGACGTTTGTTGAAAATAATTCACATATCGATTAGATTTTAATGTATTTAAGGTTTAGGTTCGAGTTTGAACTTCAATCGAGTTAAGTTTAAAAATTTTTGAGCTTTTTCGAACTTTAATTCATGGTTTCGAGTCGTACGTTAAAACTTTAGGCTCATGAGTTTTCGAATCGAGTCGAGCTCAACAATACTCGAGCTCGACACGACTCGTTACACAGCCCTAATTAGTATAAATGGATCGGAAAAGATCAACTTGAGTAACAACAATGACACACATATCTGTTGGATCTTTACCCCCACTATTCAATTAGGGAGGAAAGAAAGGCTTTAGACAAACCCCTTTATAAGTCGTTTTCCACTCGATGTAGGATTATGCACATTACCAATAAAAAGTAGAGATCATTAGAGGAAGGATGTTGCCAAAAATAATTTAAGAGCATGAGAATGTTATTGGATCTTCAATTTTACTGTAATACATTTGACGATTGGTTTCTCAATAATGGATGTTGAATTTTGTGTATGTGTTTCGAGAAGGTAATCAAGTAGCATATGAATTGACTAAATTAGGCCAAAATAATGCCCCTCAGAACAAATTGTTTCGTTTCTCTATGAGGATTGTGCTAGTTTGATTCATGACTATTAAGATATGTTTTTTTAAGATGAAAACAAAATCACAATCTAACTTAAATACTATTTTTCGTATAAATTTCTAGTTTGGTTCAAGGGTTAGACTTTGGACTTACTTCCCAAAGTCCTCTGGTTTGAATTTCCTTAGTTACAAAATATATTTGTCCTATCTTTTCTACCAATAAGACGATAATACGTGTCTATATCTTACTAGATGATATTAATATGTTAAATTCTAACGTAAAATGAATTAATTCTCAATTATATACTAAGGTCAAATTTTAGGAGTTGAATTTTTTATTCTTTTTCCTTTTACCAAACATTAAGCACTTTTTATTCACAGTATCTAACGAAATATATTAAGAAAATATAGAAAAGTATTTGAATGATACTATTAGTTTAAAAAAATTATATTTTATAAATATTAAAAAATTATTGTTAGTATTATAAACATAACAATATTGTAAATAAAGATTCTATATATTTGATTATGATTTAGATTTTTTGTGTCTTTATTTTTAAAGGAATGTTGAAGAGAAATTTATTATTATTGTTTAGTTTTAAAGGAGATTGAAGCTTTTTAGATTAGAGTTGTTGAGTTCTTAGTATTTTTTGGTGAAATAGAAAATGCAATAATAATCTCTTAATTTTTTAAAATAATTATTTTATATATTAAAATTTTATATTTATACAAAATCCAAACTTAATTCAATAAAAATCTCCTAACGTTTTTTTTTCAATTCCATTAAAAAAATCCAAATTCCTAAATCTTGAGAGTGGCAATCTAAAAAAACAAAAGAAAAATATCCTGACTATAAAAAAAAGAAAAAGGCAATGGCCACTGTTAGAAATTACAGTTTTCTTGATGATCATGACTTTGTAAATTATCATTGGTTTGGGATTTTCCTGGAAAATTATTATCATTGACTTGGGATTTTACTCGAAAACTATGAAATCTAGATGAATTTCTCTCTTTATTTCTTCAATTTGATCTTCCGAATGCAAGCTTTCATCGATGATTTCTGTTGTTGTGTTTGATTGAAAATGCTTCCATGCCTAAAAAAACAGGATAAAAAAGATTAGTGATGATTCCAAAAAAAATGTAAGAAAGATGTGAGATTGTGATTACATCGGTGACCAATGTTTCGAAATAATTATCGGATTCGATTTTGGTGTTCTTCACTCCACTGATGATTTCGAGCATTAGAACTCCGAAACTGTAAACATCTACTTTCTTTGTTAATCTTCCTTTCGCTATGTATTCCGGAGCCATGTATCCGCTACAAAAGTCAATCAGAAGATATTCGAATTATGTTAATCCGACTCTTTAATTTATAAAATGTTAAACATATACTGATTACTTACAAAGTGCCGGCGACGGTGTTGTTGACGAGATGAATCTTATCGGTATCGCGTTAACATAGCCTAGCGAGACCGAAATCTGTGATTTTCGGTCGGAATTTGAGGTCCAACAAGATGTTACTGGCCTTGATGTCCCTATGAATGATCCGAACTTCGCATCCTCTGTGTAGATATTCCAACCCTTCGGGTGTTCCCGTTATGATTTTTTGCCTTTTCTCCCAATCCAACCCTTTCTTCTTCTCGGGATCTTCCTTCCATAGGTCACCATTTTGTTTTAGTATCGAAAATGTTCATATCATATTCTCGTATTCATGTTTAGATATACATCAGATAAGAGTGTCGAACATAAATTTTGTATCATATCATTTTGTTTTCTTGAACTATTTATGTTCGACACTCGTTTCTGACACTTCCGACACTCACGTTCGGGTCCGAAATTAACTAAAGATAAGGTAGCTTACCAAATAAGATGCAATCAAGGCTATTGTTGGCAAGGTATTCATAGACAAGGAAGTTCTCAATAATGGTGAAGCAACCGCCGAGGCAACGAACCAAGTTCTTATGTTGTGCTTTACTGATAACTTCCAGCTCGTTGTATATTTCTCTGCTTCCGCTCCTTCCATTTACATATAAAGTTTTACTGCGATTTCTCTTCCATCCGGTAATGTTCCCTACACGAATTGAGCTCGATATATTCGACTTCAAAATCGATTATATGTGCTCGATCGAGCTATTCGAGCTTAAGGATTAAGATATTCGAATTCGAGTTTATACTTTAAATACTTCACCATATCCTCTGGAGCCATGCTTGTTAGCTTTATTGAAGCAATCGGTTGCTTTCTCTAAAGTTGACAACTTGAACTGCAAGAATTTCATGGCCTGATCCAGTGCGGCGAAGTCCACCTCTTTTCCTGTGTGTTGTGACATACAAAATCAAAATTCATGTATCACGATTTATGTTCGGATTCTTAACGTTACCTTTCCATTTACGTCGAGGATTCATCTGTTTATAAGCCATTTTCCCCAACCGCAGCCGACCGCGACGGCCAACGTGCAGACGATCGCCGTGATAAGGATGTAAATTACGAATGATACTATAGCATCTACAATAGATCTAGTAAACGATAGTAATTTTAATTAATTAATAACTCTTGTATATCTTATTTAAGTGAATGAAACTAACTTCGAACTGCAGCGACAGAGGTGTTGTGAGCGAACTCGTAAGTTGAATAACGTAAGAAACAGCCGGCGTTGAGGGCACGGCCTTCCTTGGCGGGCATGCAGCGGTAGACGAGGTCGATGGCATCCGCGAGACAGGAGGAGCACATGTCCTTGTCCAATATCTTCCAGCACTGAGGCATCCCGTGGACGGTGGTTCCGTTCCACGACTCCTTGTACAAGGCGATCCCTTTGCTGTAGGGAGCCTTGTGGACCATCTTGGGCAACATTTTTTTTAAAACCATCTTGAATTCGTCGCTGGTTTCGACATCATCGCTACATCTCTAACTTCCAGGTAATAAATTTACGAAATCATAAGATATTCACATCAATACAAATAAAAAAAACATTTGATATAGGAATATATATATATATATATATATATATATATATATATATATAAAGAAACTCACTTTGTTATCGGCATATGAAGTGACTTCCCTATAGAAACTATAATTGTTAGCCCTTATAAAGCAAACGTCGAGGTAAACACGACCGCCGGTGGCCGGAAAACATGCCTGCAAAATATTAGTGATCCTCGTAAAGCATTGAGCACATTCAACGCTTGAAAAATCATCCATGCATTGAGACAACACGTAAAGTTTATCCGGTGGGTTTCCGGCTTCGTGAAATGCAAACTTGTTCCGATACATTTCCGGTCCCTTGTGTTGGGGTATCAACTCGTAATTCTTCAAGTAATCATCCTCGCTCTTCACCATCGCAGCCTCGCACGAACGCGCAACGAGGTCGAGTCAATTGTCGGCACGACAAGGTCGTATGGAGAAGACGATTGAGAAGAAGATGATTAAGAAAGTTGCCATGGAAAGGAGGAGGGAGAAGAAGAATGGAGAGTGAGATTTTAAAAACGAATCTTAACTTTTGCTTATATTTGGTTTCAGTTTTTCTTATATTTTGGTAGGTTTATATTTGAGAAATGGTGCAACTTTTGATGGGTGGTATATAAATATATTAGATTTAGCTTTCTTTTTTCAGTTGTTTAAATATGTGTTTATTTCGCTGTATTTTGTTTTTTGCGGTAACATATCTCAGTTTAGGATATATTTCGTCTAAACATTTGTTTATAAAAATAAGGGAAAGGTAATCAATTTAATCGATTGATTATTTGATTGTATTAAAAATAACATATTATGTCTAACATTTTATTGAAAAGTTATTAAGTTAATGATAAATATTTGAAGTAAGTTTATTTGATCGGTCTGTTAAATTTTTTACTTTTATTTCTTCATATTCATGTAGGACATAAGTTTTATATTCACTAAAAGTTCTAAAATTATGATTCACATCAGATCAAAAAAAATCAAATATCCAATTTTTCGAATACTCATATCTTAATGTAAAATATAATTGACAAAAAATTAGATTTAAATTTTATATTTCGTAACTTTATGCAATATACTTTATACTTTTACTACATTATATATATATAATTATTGACACACAATAAACAATTAAATATTCTAATTTTTTTTCGGCTACAACTTTAGTGGGTTAGCATGTTATTCAATTATTGAGCTAAAGCCTATCTAAACTCTAAATGTTTATTTTTAAATCGAATAATTCGAAATTAGAATTTAACTTATTTATTATCCGGTGCAATTATATGTTTTTTTCTTGGATATTTGATCCAAATTATTCAAAAATCAAAAAAATAAACTAGATATCCAAAATTTCAGAGTAGATCACCAGATCAACATATCAGATTGGTAGGCTTGGATTTTTTTTACACACTCCTAACAACTAGGGTAGCAATCAACATGAGTAATGGAATTTTAAATTAAGATTTTTAGAATTTTAGGGATTTTTTAGAATTAAAAAATAAGATTTTTTAAAAATAAAAATTTCAAAAAAATTATAAATATGAAACATGTTAAATAATTATATTTTTTAACGATTATGAAGATATGCACAACTTAAATGATAATGTTAAAAATATTATATACTTACATTGATAAAAAAATGTAAATACTTAAATAAAAAAATACAATTTAGGACATTTATTTTTATATTAAACCTTTTATTTAAATTGTTGAAAAGAATTTCAGACTGGTTGAGTTAGCGGTCCAGTACTCCAGTTTCCTCAACCTCGTGCCAGTGCGCACGTTTCGGCGAAACGCTCTCTTTAAAATGAGAGGCGTCGCGTTTAAACGCACAGTAAAAGAAAGAAATGCTAAAGCAGGCTCTCCGAGTCCGATTTGGTGCTATCTCTTGTTCACCCGCCTCCTCGACGATGCTCTCTTCTTCGTTTTCTTCTTCTTCTTCTTCAGTTCTCGCTCTCAGAAATAAGAACCCTAGCTCTCTCCTTCCTTCTAGATTCTTCAGAAATGGATTCGTCAACAACCGAGTCGTTTTCTCCTCTCACTTTCCACGCGCTGTTTCCTTACGGTGTTTCGCTTCTTCAAGCGGTTTCGATAGGGTTCAAGTTCTAAATCCGATTGTCGAAATGGACGGTACAAAAATCTTATTAGAACACAGCCAAATCAGGACGTTTTTAATTATATTTTCTGCTTTTTCTAATTGTTATTTTTGTTTCTTTTTTTATTTGTAATAATTAGGTGACGAAATGACGAAGATTATTTGGAGTATGATAAAAGACAAAGTATGAACATGAATTTCTTGATTTGTTTTTTTAGTTTCTTTCCACATTTCCATAATTATTAATAATTAGTGGTTAACTTGTTTGTTTAATTGCAGCTTATATTCCCTTATTTGAATTTGGAGGTGAAATACTTTGATTTGGGGATATTGAATCGTGATGCTACTGATGACAAAGTTACAGTCGAAAGTGCTGAAGCAGCTCTAAAGTAAGTAATCTTTTTACCAGGCCTTTTAGACATAATCATTGCTCTGTTCTTTTTATGGTGACATTTAATATTGTGTCTCTCGGATTTGAGTGAATGTCGGGTACCCGGGCATGTTCCGGTATAGTTTAGGCACTTTTTTATATTTGCTAGTGGTAATCTAATTTCCTACCTCTTGAAATCTTATAATTTTGCATCCCTTAAATTTCTAATATAAGTTCCCAAGTTTGCATCCCCCAACATTAAATCTTGCTTCTGTCCCTGCATGTCATGTAGCTTAGCCATTAGATCAAAATGTTTACTTTCCTTAACCTTTTCTTTCCTTCCGACCAAATGGGTGCAAAATGTTGTTTTACATTGTTTTGGAAAACAAAGGCTTGAAGTTTTGAACAATTCATCTTTCCTTTATTCACATCTTGAAACCTGCAGCTGTAAAGAGTATCCTTGTTTCCTTCAGGTATAATGTTGCCATCAAATGCGCCACAATCACTCCCGGTTAGTCATTCTTGTGCTTTTTATATATGTAGTATCTAAGTGATTTAGTCTCTTTAGCTTTTCATAGAACTAAATTTAGGTTATGTGTGTCGTGCAGATGAGACAAGAGTAAAGGAATTGGGGCTGAAATCTATGTGGAGAAGTCCTAATGGAACAATTAGAAACATCTTAAATGGTTTGCCTTTCATATAATAACCTCTCATTATACTCATTTCAGGGATAAATGTTGAATAGTTGGCATATGCATGGATTGATTTGATTTTCCTTTAATTGTTTAAATAGTATCCTGAAGTTTAAAAGGTTCGTCTTCCACAAGCAGTCATTGGTGGATGTGTTCTGAAATAAGATTTTAAATTCTCTCTCTCTCTCTCTCTCTCTCTATACATCCAGTGTTTTTTAGAACGGCTAAATTATGATGCTTATCTGTACTTCTCCAACATTTTTACCGAGGTATTTTCCTTGTATATTCAATCATCTTAATTGAGAGCGGATTCTTTTTGTAGGTACTGTCTTTCGTGAACCTATCCTATGCAGGAATATACCAAGAATTGTTCCTGGTAATGATTTCTTCTGACTGTGACAGTTAACTGAAATATTTTGGAAAGCTTCTGTCATTTTTTCTTCCTGTTATAGGTTGGAAGAAACCCATATGTATTGGAAGACATGCCTTTGGTGATCAGTATCGAGCCACTGATACAGTGATTACTGGACCAGGAAAGCTCAAGATGGTATTTGGTGAGCTGATTAACCTTCATGGGAATGGTGCTGTTGCATTAGTCTGGAAAGTATCTTATTTCTTAAATTCCTACTGTTTTTTTTTCTATTTTAGTCCCAGAAGGCGGAGACAAGCCAGTGGAGCTTGATGTCTATAATTTCAAAGGCCCTGGTGTAGCACTTGCTATGTATAATGTGGATGAGGTTTGTAAACTTTTTGTTCATTTTCCCAATCTGTATGCATCTATGTATTATATGTAAATGCAGTGCATATGTATATATATATATATTCACATGTATAAGTTTGCGTTCTTTTGATCAACTAATTTAATAAATCCTTGTGTGATTGTTCAGTCAATTCGTGCTTTTGCCGAGTCCTCTATGTCTTTGGCTTTTTCGAAGAAGTGGCCTCTTTACCTGAGCACAAAAAACACTATTCTGAAGAAATATGATGGCAGGTGATGTTTTCTTTGTTCAGTCCACCCCCCCCAAAAAAAATATTCTACAATCTTTGACTAAATTTTTCTTCAAGATTACTCAGATTTTTTATTTGCGGAAGAACTGTAGAATTCTTATCTTAGGAAGTTTATTACAGGTTTAAGGACATATTTCAGGAAGTGTATGAACAAAACTGGAAGGGCAAGTTTGAAGAACATTCAATATGGTTCGGTTTTTTCATTTTAGGGAATGTATGCTTAAGGCTCTGTTTAGATATGTGTAAATATTTGATGGATTTTATGTCTAGGTATGAACATCGACTAATTGATGACATGGTGGCGTATGCTGTAAAGAGTGAAGGGGGATATGTTTGGGCATGCAAAAATTATGATGGAGACGTCCAAAGTGATCTACTTGCTCAAGGTGTTGTTTATGTTGAAAGCTTTAAATGATATCTAGCCTACACTGCCACACACACACACACAAAAAAAGAGGGATACTGATAATTTACTTATATGCTTTGTCCATTAATATAATAAAGCATGCAATTTTTATTTTGAAATGCCTACTGAGTCCATTAATAAATCATGCAATTTTTTTGAATTTCCTACTGAGTCCATTAATATGATAAATCATGCATTTTTTTAAATGCCCACTGATACTAATGGATATATTTCTTTGTGTTAATAACCTTAATCGTTTACAAATCAATGCTTGAGTTTGAAATTATCTCGGTTTCTTGTGGAGTCTAAATGCATGTTTGCTGTATGCAGGATTTGGTTCTTTGGGCTTGATGACTTCTGTGTTGGTTTGTGTCAAATGACTTAGTTTCATATTTCTATATTAGTTTCTCCATTTGGGGCATTGAATGCAAATCTTTGTAATAACAAATTCTGCAGCTGTCTTCTGATGGGAAGACACTAGAAGCTGAGGCGGCTCATGGGACTGTAACACGACATTTCAGGCTTCATCAAAAGGGACAGGAAACCAGTACAAACAGCATTGCTTCCATATTTGCATGGACAAGAGGGCTGGAGCACAGGTATCCTCTTCTATTTTCTGTTTATCATCTTCATTTATTATCTTTTCTGTTTATCATTTTTCATTTGAACTTCCATGCAATTGCTTGCAGGGCAAAACTAGATGACAATGACAGGTTGCTGGACTTTGTTCACAAGTTAGAGGATGCTTGCATTGAGACAGTGGAGTCAGGGAAAATGACCAAGGATCTTGCCCTTCTAATCCACGGGCCTAAGTATGTTGCATTTTCTCTCAATGTATTTTCCCCCATTGTTGATGTTTCCTATTGTGATCTTCTATGGTATTCGATCTGGGGAGACTTGGTGTCTGTCTGATACGGACATGTGTTACATATGAGTATATTCATGTTCTTCTTAGCTTTTCCATGTATTTGGATGATATCTCGAGGACTATATCCTCGTATCCTCGTCCAGGGTATGCCTTTTCAATTGGGGGGTAAAAAACTAGACAATTCAAGAAAAATGAAGTCGGAACAATATAAGTGAACTCCATGCGATATTTCATTAGATGGTTCTTACTTCCACCTACCACCTTGTTTATGTCGTCTTTAAATGTCAACTAACATGTAGTAAAACACAAATAAACTGAACTTTTATCTTTAACTCGGCGTGTCTTATGAATTCAGGGTAACCAGAGAGTTTTACTTGAATACGGAAGAATTCATTGACGCTGTTGCAGTAAATCTTGAGTCGAAGCTTCGGAAACCAGCATTGAGCAACTAGACTTGGGTAAATTCTGATGTTGGAAGACTTATTTTCTCCTTTTGACGGCATATGCACTCTGTTAAGATTTCATTTGGCTTTTCTTTTGGTTTAAAAATGTTGAGTGCAGCAAATCATAGCTCCATTTAAACACAATAATATGAATAAACCATTCTTAGATGACATCAAATAACAGGCCTTGTTGACAAGGCCATTTTTCGAATTCATTTTGGAATCATTGGATGTAAATTTTATAATATCATTTGAATTTATAATATTTGAATACATAAAAAGGAACAAACTGAATGTCTATAAGTAATTGAATCATTCCTAATCTCAAAATTCCCTGGGTCCAAACTGATTCCTGGGTTTCTTCATATTATTAACTGCTAGTGAATTCAATAAACAATTTCTTTTAAATCAATCGTTCACAATTTCATCTTAGTATCGTGTGAGATTGAAATCTCGAGGTTTCAAGTTGAATTAGCTTTGCTTATCCTTGAATTTGTGTAATATTTATATCTCGTCTGAGATCTGATCTCGAGCAGTTGCATTGGATATTTTTTCCATCCTCAAAAATTTAAGAATATCAAATTACTTTAGAGAAAATCGCCTCAGTGACCAAAAAAAAGTTATAATATACGATTTTAACCAACATTTTTTGGATTTGCGAAAATGACCAACAAAATCGCAACGCGAAATAAAAATCGCAACGCGATTTAGAAAATCGCAACGTTGAAAAGAAAATCGCAACGGTCAAAAGAAAATCGCAACGCGATATTCCAAGAATCGCAATGCGATTAAGAGAATCGCAACGCGATCTTCCAAGAATCGCAATGCGATTCAGAAAATCGCAACGCGATTAAGAAAATGAGTAAATTTTTTCAAAAGCTATTGTATTTGTTTCTTTCTTAAGAATTTTCTCTAAAAAGATAGTATCCGCGCGGACGTGTCGAAGACACGTATGACCACGACCACGACCACGACCACGACCACGACCACGACCACGACCACGACCACGACCACGACCACGACCACGACCACGACCACGACCACGACCCGAGACGAGACGAGACGGCGGCGGCGGCGCGCGAGAGTCCCCCTTGTTCTCTTTCACTCAACAAGGAAATGGGAAATCCAAGCCTTAAATACACTTCCCAAGAGTGTTTCCAATACTATGTGGGATTGAGCATTACTCAACACTTCAAAGAAAATATAGCAATTTTTGTAGTATTTTCCCACTTAATCCATATCTAAAAATATTAAAACATTTTATCAAGAGAATTAAAAGAGTTGTAGATATCTACATTTCAATTCAAACTTATATATATAGTTTTAATATGATAAAATGTTTTAATATTTTTAAATATGGATTAAGCGGGAAACATGCTACAAAAATTGCTATATTTTCTTTGAAGTGTTGAGTAATGCTCAATCCCACATAGTATTGGAAACACTATTGGGAAGAGTATTTAAGGCTTGGATTTCCCATTTCCTTGTTGAGTGAAAGAGAACAAGGGGGACTCTCGCGCGCCGCCGCCGCCGCCGCCGTCTCGTCTCGTCTCGGGTCGTGGTCGTGGTCGTGGTCGTGGTCGTGGTCGTGGTCGTGGTCGTGGTCGTGGTAATGGTAATGGTAATACGTGTCTTCGACACGTCCGCGCGGATACTATCTTTTTAGAGAAAATTCTTAAGAAAGAAACAAATACAATAGCTTTTGAAAGAATTTACTCATTTTCTGAATCGCGTTGCGATTCTTGGAATCGCGTTGCGATTTTCTTAATCGCGTTGCGATTCTTGGAATCGCGTTGCGATTTTCTTAATCGCGTTGCGATTCTTGGAATCGCGTTGCGATTTTCTGAATCGCATTGCGATTCTTGGAAGATCGCGTTGCGATTCTCTTAATCGCATTGCGATTCTTGGAATATCGCGTTGCGATTTTCTTTTGACCGTTGCGATTTTCTTTTCAACGTTGCGATTTTCTAAATCACGTTGCGATTTTCTAAATCGCGTTGCGATTTTTATTTCGCGTTGCGATTTTGTTGGTCATTTTCGCAAATCCAAAAAAAGTTGGTTAAAATCGTATATTATAACTTTTTTTTGGTCACTGAGGCGATTTTCTCATTACTTTATATGTCAGATATCCAAATTCGTACAAATTCGAATGATCAAAGTCCTAAACCTTTTGAAAGTAAACATATTCTCTATTTTATAACAAGAGTTTGATCATCCGCGTATGTACAAGTAATGCAGAATTGAGTAATTGAGGTCTGAGTCTCTATCTTATCTGCAACGGGTAGTAATTTTAATATTCATCGGATATTATCTACATTGACAGGAAAAAAACATTTCGATATACACAAATAATTGAATCTGTTATACAATTTGTCATCTATAAAATAAGCATTTGTTATTTGTACTGTGATTGTAAATAGTGGTGGATCTTGCAAAAACAGCTTGAGGGTCTTGCTACAAACCTGCCATGAAAATCCATGGCAGAGAAACTAATAAATGATGAGGGAAGAGGGGAGAGCAAGGGGATGACGGGTAACGCCTACGCTTGGAGGTTGCTCGAGTTAAGGTCTATAAAATACAAACTATTAACAGTCAAAAATTATAAAAACAAAACATTTTAAACTTAATTAGATATGAAGAGAAATACACATATATGATACAATCATACAAGCACACATATATGAAACAAAAGGGAGACTCCAAATTTCCTCAATATCTGAATTCAAAACCTATGAAAAATAATTACTTGGTATTTGGCCAATGATCAATTGAGCCTGAAATTCAATGGCTTTTGTATTTAAGCTAACAGACTCCAATGCACTTTCAGCTTCATGCCCAAGCCCAACATTTTCATGCCTCTAATAAGCACCTAAACACAACATATTCTAAAGATTAAGATCACATGACAACAAAGCTATAACACTTCGGTTTTTCCTTTTATTCTAAGTGTTTGTGTTAGATACCCAAGTTTGGCATACACGGGTATGGAGATACGGTCCTCTCCAACTACATGAAAATCTTGGGGAGGGGATAAACACACTTGTATCGGATAAATACTAGTATTCAAGTTTGAGTAGTGTTGATGACAAGAAGTGATTTTTATAGTTCGTTAACGGATTATCTCTTTTGATTTGTGCAAAGAGTCGCAATCGGTGAGGGAACGACCGCTAACCGGTGTTTTGTATTGGAGAGAGTCTTCATGAATGATGAAGAAGACGATATGGAAGTTATGAGGGTTCTAGTCCCCTTATCAATCTTCATTGATGGTATTTATAGTTATCTTTAGTGCATTTGTTAGTCTTGGGATTGTTATGGTTGTTTGTAGATTGATAGGTTAGGTCGATTCGTTAGTAAAACTCTGGATTTCATTTTGACGTATCAGGTGGGTTTGTCATAGGTTTTGTTGATTAAAAGTCTGTACCCGTAGAGTGTAGGCAAGTCAAAGGCACTGGTGGGATGAGAGGTTTATTTGAAGACCTTGGCCAGTAAAGAGCCAGCGGTTTCAGCAAATTTGATCTGATGCAGACTTGAAAGTTTTCGGAGACCACCTTTGAAGGTATAACAAATAGTTCAACAACAAAATCTGATCGAAGATTTGATTGTTTTCAATTTAGTTTTAAACTTAGGTGACTGATGAAAGCATATTCATGTTTTTTCAAAGCCAACTTCAGCTTCTTTTTTTCTTTTTTGAGTTCCCACTTTTTCAAGGCTGGAAATTCCAATCTTATCTTTTTATTTTTAACTTTCATACATTGATTTATTACCAATCTCTTACGGATCACGATTCTTCATTTAAATTAGAAGTAGTGCATCGTCAACGATTAACAAATAGACTTATTCTCATCAACACAACTGAATTAATATTATTACAGATATTCTGAAAAGCTCATAGTCTCTGTATAGGAGGTTCGTGTCTTTTCTCATTTAAGTCCAAATTACATCATGTCAATGCAGTATGAATAAGTTTACAATTGGATTATGCATTTTAAAATATCATAATTAGATCATTTTATTTATCAATTATAATAATTATATTATTTTATCTTTAGGTTATAGTAAGGGTAAACTACACTAATGGTCATTAATGTCTGAGTAAATTTTTGTTTTCTCCACAAAAGTTTAAAAAGTAACAAAATAGTAATTCCACTGTCATCCCGTTAAATAGATGACGTGGCAACATTAACAAAAATGTTAATATTTAGTTTTACCCCTAAATTATTTCTAAAACATCAAATAGATCCTTGAACAATGATTGTATATCTAATTTACTCCAAAAGCTTTTTAATTTCAATTTTTTTCCAAACACTACACCACTTCCACTATATTCGAATCACCTTCCCCACAAAAACGAAAACCACACTTAAACTAACCCTCGCCATAACTATTCTTATTATTTTCTTTGAATTAATAGGGAAACTAGAGGTTTTTATGAACTTACATTTCTAAAGTTGCATATCATTTCTTACTCGTTTGTTCAGCCCCAATTCTATTGATTAACTGCTGTTTTCACCCCTTAAGCCACGTCAAAAACTCAAATGAACAGAATCTAACAACAACAAGTAAGGCACTAATCTCATGGGAAGCTGTAGAAATATCCTTCTTGACCTGTAAAACTAGTCAGCTTAACTGGTTTTGATAAACAAAATTGAAAAACGCCGAAGATAACAATAAAAAGGAAATGGAAAGAAGTAATGCACAATCAAGAATACTATATAGTCAATAGGGAAACCAAGTTTAGGGTAAGTCACTGCCAATGCAGTTTGAATGTACACATATGTGAAGGATTAGAAACATGTCAAGTTTATTAATCTGGCAGCTATCACCAGAAATTTTAACTTTATGACAAAATAGAACTGGGATAGAAGGAAATCACCTGATCTTCTACACTGGAAAAACGTAGTTGAGAATCCATATTTCGTGTCTTTAATGTAAAAGAAGAAACTATACTATTCTCTCTATCACACCTGATATGATTCACCACTGGACCATCACGATTGTGAAATGTTCCAGTGGTGGGAGATGTCTATACCAGAAACGGAAGTCATTAGAGAACATAATAGTGAATAAACTACAAAGCTGGGCATAAACAATAACTTTTATATATTAATTAAACCCCTTTTTAATTTTTCTATGAAAATTTTCTTTAATCAGGCTAGATAACAAATTTAAATAACGATATTAACTATAACATTTAAGTACCAGTGATGGAACACAAGTCGAGTTTAATGCAATCCAGTTCATAAAGAACACAATAGTTATTAAAGCTTTCTAAGATGTTTTACTTAATATAACTGAGTTTCAATTTCCAAAAGATGCTCTAAAAAGGGTTACATTGTTGTCCATGAAAAGAGGGAGGGAGGGAGGGTTAAAGTGATATGGCGAGAGTTTGTTTAAGTAGGGTTTCATTTCGTAAGGAAGATGATTCAAATATAGGAGATGATGGGGTATTTAAAAAAAATTGAAATTAGAAAGTTTTTGGGAGTAAATTAGATATACAATCATTCTTCAATGACCTATTTAACGTTTTAGCAATAGTGAAGACAATTTATTTTTTAAGATATATTCATTTTAGTGAAGACAATTGTCTATGAAGATTATGGAATGTACACCGATACGAAATATTATTGATGCATTCTTTCTTGTAAACGTCATCAAAAATTTATTTTTTATAAAAAATAATGAAAATTTTCTTTTTATAAAATAAGAAACAACTCTTTATAAAATTCTCTAATCTCTCTAGTTGTGGGGTGATTTGAATGATGAAATGGATAGGTTATTTGAAGCTAAAATTCATGGACCAAACTATAAATAACTCATTAATTTTTTGAACTAAAACAACAATTACCTCTTCCATTATTTTGATGGCTTTGAATCAAATAATTTATTTTTTAAAAATTCAGTTTAAACCATTTTCCTATTTGTTTTTACCAAATTATCCTGCATAGCTTTGACTTTTAATGATCCAAGAATTGTTGCTTATTGGCTAAGAAGATCTTCTCGAGATTTTCTCAAACTTAGATTTAGTAACATTTATTTTCCCTTTTTAACGTGTCGGAATACGTATAAATGTACAAAATCTTACCCACGATACGAATTAAATACGCACTTTTGACCGATCACGATAAAAATACATTGAATTTGATTTCCGTACCCGTATTATCACCACGTCTACCATTATACGACACTTAACCGTTGCAGGAGGAAAGTAACAAATGTAAAGGGAAAAGTATGTAGAAAAGGCAATAATTTAATGAGTATCCGCAAGTAGATTAAGTCAAACCCTAATCAACAATACATAATTATAAAGTTATACGTACTAAAATTAGGGTAAATTGTATATTTAGCCGTCTAATTATTTATGTGGTTATGTTTTGGTCACCAAACTTTTTTTCTTCAAAATCATATATAATATTACGTTTTAGTTTCATTTTGGTCATTTGTCGTTAAAAAAATTAAAGATGATGCGGACATGTCACCATAAGATAATGTCACATCATTATTAAAAAATAAAAATTATCACGCCAATAGTTATGTTAATTTTTTAACAACATATAACCAAAATGAAATCAAAACGTAATATTATGTACGATTTTGAAAATATAAAAGTTAAATGACCAAAACAAAATCTTGTCAATAGTTAGATGACTAAATACGTAGTTTACCATAAAATTTAATGCATAAATAAAATATAATTTTGTATATCAACGATGTGATTATCATATATATATATATATAGCACATCACGTACTAAGGTTATATTAATAAAAGCAATACATTGTTGTGAAACCCTTGAAAGATCACTAGTTCAGCATGATTTCTTCGGCAGATATCTATCATATTTTCACAGCCATCGTTCCACTATACGTCGCCATGATTTTGGCTTACATGTCCGTGAAATGGTGGAAGCTTTTTACGCCGGAACAATGCGCCGGCATAAACAAGTTCGTTGCTAAATTCTCAGTCCCGCTGTTGTCTTTCCAAGTGATCTCCGATAACAACCTTTACAAGATGAACGTCAAGATCATACTCGCCGACTTTGTTCAGAAAGTATTGGCCTTAATCGTTTTGATCGCGGTCGTGAAACTCGGCTCTCGGGGCGGTTTACGGTCGATCATAACCGGCTTTTCATTATCGACCTTGCCCAACACTTTGATCGTCGGGATCCCGTTGTTGAAGGCCATGTATGGAGATGAAGCGGGTGGATTACTGGCTCAGATTGTTGTTCTTCAAAGCATCGTTTGGTATAATTTGATGTTGCTCATATTCGAGTTGAGTGCTGCAAAGAGAGCCTCTGGGATTACACCAACGGTAGAAGACTTAGGTAGACGTTTCGACCTTAATCATTATGTACTTGTTCTTTTTCTAGATGTTTTTCATATATTTAGAAGATAATCATATCCTCATGTACTTGTATTAAGACATGTTTAACGAAAAATCAAAGAGTTCGATAACATGTGTTTTATTTTGGCCGAAATAAGGGGACGAAGAAGATCCAGAAGAAGCACAAGAGAAAGATGGAGAAGAGGAGGCACAAACCAAACTATGCAAATCCAAGACTGTACTCATTTTCTTGACAGTGGGAAAGAAGCTCCTAGCAAATCCGAATACTCATGCAGCTTTGCTTGGTCTCATCTGGGCAAGCATTCGATTCAGGTTAGATTATGGAAAACTTTAATCCGGACAGTGCTGTTTAATTTTTTGGTAATGATTGATTGGCAACTGAGAAATTTGTTTAAGTTGCTAAAAATTGATATCTTTCTGTAGGTTGAAAGTGAAATTCCCTGCCATCGTTGAAGATTCGATAACAATATTATCAAACGGAGGGCTTGGCATGTCGATGTTCAGTATAGGTCTATTCATGGCAACTCAGCCGAGCATAATAGCATGCGGTATTCGAATGACAATCGTAGGCATAGTTTTGAAATTCATGGCTGGTCCTGCTCTAATGGCAGCATCCTCAGCTGCCTTAGGACTTAGAGGGAGATTATTAAGAATGGCAATCATGCAGGTTAGTAAACTGTTCCATTAATCTTGATTTTTCGACCCGCGAACCAAAGGGATAAAAAGCTAAACATTGATACACACAAATCTAAATTACAGGCAGCTCTTCCTCCTGGAGTGGTACCATTTGTTTTCGCCAAGGAATACAATGTTTATCCTGATATGTTGAGCACAGGGTAATCGACATGATGTTTTCAAACAAAATGTTTTGATTTGGATCCATTTGACTGATGAGGTTTTGTTTGTTGTTTGTTTCCAGGGTAATCTTTGGCATGCTTATTGCAGTACCTGTTGCGTTGATATACTATCTTGTATTAGCACTGTGAGATTCCTGGAAAATCCTGGCTAGTTTCATGGTGAAGTGTCCGAAGTGTTCCTGGGAAACTCTTTGATATTGTTGTTTGTTTCCTGGGAAAGAAAAAAGGTTCTCTGTATGATTGTCTGTAACAAAGAAAAGTTCACTTCCATTAACTTTACATATGGCAAATTACATTTCATATATCTAAGCCACTGAACGCAGATTTCACTTAAACACACTAAACCATATCCGGCTTTAGTACAATGTAAACTTCAAGATCATTTTCACCTTCAATTATTTTTATTACAATATGGAAATTATACGAGTCCGACCGGTGACCACTACTATTCATGATGCTGAGATGCCTGAAGCAGGCCATCTTGAATCTGGGTGGCGATGACTCGAACAGCACCGGGTCTGTAAGTGATAAACACTGATGAAGATTTAGAGGCAGCACCAATTTCTTTCATGGTATCAAAATACTGGGAAATAAAGACCATGTCCAAAACATCCTAGCCGTTGTCCCTGGAACATTGACCAAGAACCCAAGCACACTGTCCCTTAGACCACCGACAATGGTCTGTCGTTGCCTTGCGATCCCAACACCCGACAGATACTTCGATTCGCTCCCTCTGCTCTCTTTATCTGTATAATCTTCTCCGCCTCTGCTTTCTCGCTTGCAGCAACTCTCGTCCTAGCAGCTGTAAAAACAAAATGAAATAAAACTATTGAGAAGGTCGGACCGAAGATCGAATCGGTCAGACTTCTGAGATAAAACTCACCAGCATTAATTTCGTTCATGGCTCTTTTCACATGTTCATCTGGTTCTATATCAACAATGAGAGTCTGGACAATCTCGCATCTATAAGCAGACATAGCCTATTAAGTCACAATGACAATCAAATATGGTTGTATGGTAAGAAGCTCGAGATCGGTTCGCGATTTGTTTGTTCGCTCAATTACCTTTTCGAGCTCATCTTCGACCGCTTTAGCAATATCATTCTTTTGCTCAAAAGCATCATCCAGATCCAGCTTTGGAACACTAGCCCAGATAACTACAGAATAAGAAGAAATAAAGAAAAAAACCGAATCTCTTAAGGTTTCATTTGGCAATCAAGGAAGAACATTAAATCAATAAGTTTATTGTGACACCATCGAAAACATAGGCTTGAATTTGAGTCCTGGTGTTGCTAAGTTTGTAGAAAGCATCGTTTTCCTTCTCTGCCTAGGCACGATATTGTACCGACGTGACGACATTGACGAACACATTGTTGAGCACAAACAATATTTTCAGAGTCGAAGAACATAAATACGACAGATACGATTCACCGATTTTTATCGAGTTAAACAAGGAACAAACCTTTGTCTTGGTCTCGCAACGCACATCGACCTGTTGTAACCGGATAGTGAGATGGCCCGCAAGCTGGCTCCCGAGACACCAAGGTAAGCAATGGTATCCGGGGTCGAGCACCTCATCGAACTTCCCGAATCGTTCCTTTATGGCCACCGTAGATTGGTCTACTTGGACACAACACAATAGGTATGTACAATATTTTTATTTAAAGATTTAGGAGAGACTGACAATTATTTTTTGATTCAAATGCATGAGAGATAATAGTTGCTTTAATATTATATAAAAATATTTTTATTTACTTTTAGTTAAAGTTAACTTTTATAATATAAAATTAAATATTTAATTTCTAAATTAAAGAAAAAAAATTAAAATAATTTATTTTTTAAATTTATATTATTATGATCAAAACTAATCATTACAATACAAAAACAAAATTAAAATTAATATATTCAAACAATTAACATCAAAATCAGTCATTATAAAATAGAAATAAGTAAATTGATTATCAAAATATTGATAAAAATAGCTTTGACCAAAATTTATATATAATAAAATTTGAATTAAAATAAATGAAAACTTAAATGTTATAGATGATAAGACTTGAACATAAATATTAAAGAATTCAGCCTCAACCATTACCAACTCAACAAAAACATCATCAATTGTGTATTGTTGAAACTCAGCAGATCATTATTAATTTTAAATCGAGTAATGTTGGTTTTATTCTCTTGAAAGAGAGTTACATTTAAAATATTATAGATAAAATTTGATAAATTAATATTTTAATTTCATGTTATAATATATTTTAATTTAATCATTATATGAAAAGATTCAAACAATTACGATGAATAGTTGTAACATAGGGTAGTTTTGTTGTGCGACAGTCTAATTAAGATGAAATTAAGACGATTTCAACTTAAAATATTATCATATTCTACCTAAAAATTTATACAAATTCTTAACATTTTCAGTTTCAATCGAAAAATGACATTACTAGGATTTAAGATTTACAAACGAAAATATCATGAAGAATGTAACATTTTTATTACAACCTATCTAATCTAAAAATTACGCTCTAGATAAAATTTTCCGTTACAATTAAATTTATATAATTTTTTAACCTTATACCAACGAGTTATATACATATGCCCACTGATTTTCCAACCATTTAATGCATCAAAACATTGGCTTTAACGCCATCTATTCTTTATATATATATATATATATATCATTTGTTTCAACAATGACAAAATGGATTGATTTGTATTAAAATTTCATCATATTCGTTTTGGCATTGATTTTAACATAAAATTAAGAGGTTTTACTTTTTAAATTTCTTTAATTATTAATTAATTTATTTTTAAATAATAACTTCTCACAATAAATTTGAATTAAATCTACGTATTGTGAAATTTGATGGTATGACCTAAAATGTCAAACACATGGAAACAACAGAGAAAATGGGTGGAAATTGCAAAGAATATTACCTTTAGATCCACAATGTCGTGTACAATAATATGCTACAATGTTGAAATAAGTAATGATATTCAATCTATTGACCAATTAATTCGGATTGGATACCGACAAAAGCAATCTTCTCAACTTAGTTTGTTCAATTCTTGCAAACGTCACGAATCGAACTCCTGACATTACTTAAGGGATCTAACGCCTCATTGCTCTAGACCAAGTGGTTGTTGGTAAATAATCTAGAGTATCTTTGTATTATAAAAGCTTGATGAAAAAGAAAATAAGTGTCCATACTATATTCTTTGCTCATTATAAGTATCTAAAGTATTTTTTTGTTCAAAATAAATGTCTAACGTTTCTGACCTTACTCTTTTAAGTATCTATGTCGTACGAGCGTTAAAAAACTTTTTATCTAATATGTGTTACGCTTATTTTATTTTTTAAAATTTTTATTAAAATAACCTTAAAAATATGATTATCTAAAAAACTTAAATTTTCTAAAATAACAAAATATCATCCAAATATGAAATTTATTTGAAGCATAGTTTAACCTAATTTTTTTCCAAGCATATAATAATATAACTTGGCCTGACGATTTTATTAACAAAAGATGTGATTAATATATATGTATAGTTTGGGATGAAATTGAAATGTGTAATAAGTTTGGAGAACAGTTTAGAATAAAGGTCATAGTTTGAGGATGAAAATAAAGCATTCAAAAGTTTGAGGAATAATTTAGAATGATAGCCATAATTTAGGGTTGAAATTGAAACATTTAAAATTTTATGGACTAGTTTAAAATTAGAGTCATAATTTGAGGATATATGATGCAATTAACTCATACTATATTAAAAAATATTTTGATGTGACAGATACAAGACATGTTATTGTTGATAAATAAACAAAATCTTAACAGTACTTAACTACTCAAAATAAAGTCATCGCGCGACCGCAAACACTCCAAAAATAGACACCGTCTATAGAAATAAAAATCCACGTAATGGGAGTATCGTCATTATACCAAAACATACATTCAACCAGCATAAGACATCAAAACCAACACTAAACTAGCAACTTCACCACAACTCTCGCTAAACACAAGGAGAGTAATATCACACTAACTTTCGCCCAAGTGCATGACCGATGAAGACCTCCGTAGAACACATTTCAAAATATCATAAAACCTTGCCCTTTATCACACTTGCCAGCACAACGAAGAACTCAATACAAGCACAATTTAATCATTATCACTCATAGAATAATGAGGTATCATACGGCCTTCAACTTTCATCTATGCTCTAATCAATTCTCTTATCGATGCGAAATGAGCATGAACAAGTCTGCATGAAGGAACGAGAGAACCCTTGACCAGTTTTTTTACGAAGAAGAGTATAACTGTCAATTTTTTTTTGAAACCTTATACCATAAATCTTCCTCGTCAATGACCCCCAAAACATATGCTTAAAACTGAATTGATAACGCTATATATATACACGTGAGAAATGTATCAAATAAGGTAGATTGCTATATGTATGTAGAGAGATAATATTGTGTAAAATATGCTTGTTATTTGAGTAAATGAGAAAAGAGACTGGTACAATTGTCATTATAACGAATATGGATATAATGCATTGTTTTGACATAAGAAAAGGGTTGCAAGCATGTTTATATGAATATAATACATACACTCTATAAATGTAATTACTCAAATTTAAAAATTTTAAAAATATAACATTATTATTTACTTATTAATAATACATACACCCTAGATACATGGCTCAAACGTAAGAATTTTAAAGAAAATAACATTATCGTACCAATTTTGAATTAACCAAACTTATGAAAATGACTTTGAAACTAAACGGTTGGAGAAGTTAATTTGTAAGCCCAAATGTCAGCCAAAACATAATAACCGCACCATGTGCCAATGTTCCGAATTCAAGTCTATGTTGTTTCAGGTCAAAAAGTAAAGCAGAGATAATTCAGAAACCTTTTACTGTTTATAGAGAAAAAATCAGAAACCAGCCTTTGCTTTCTTTCTTTCTTTTCTTGAACAATAACCTGCTTTTGCTTTCTGTGTATTTAAACAAAGCGATTCAAAGCCTGCAAAACCGGCTGCTCCCATCAATCTTGGCAGTGGTCATGTCCATTTTCTTTTTAGCCTTTTTAGACTTAACCATTTATGTATTTCTATTTTATAACTAATATTTCATAAAAAATATACCAACAAAAACAATTGAATAAAGGAGAAAATAGTTCGGATTAGTTGAATAGAACTTTCATTTATAAAAAGAACACATATTAGCAACTCTCATATAGAGGAAAGGGTACCCTAAACCGAGTGACAAAGTGGTACATACTCGGTCCAACACCTCAAATATAAATATAGTAAGCCAGTAAGGTAAAATTTCAAGGTTCAAGGGCACTTGGGTCCTCCTTCCTTGGTCTTCCAGTTGTTGTAGCAAGGGCAAGCAGCTTTGTTCCCATAATACCCCGGGGGCACATACAGGCATTTCTTGCAGCATTTCTGACAGAAGAACATGCATGGCTTATGGTACCGGGTCTTACTACACCTCCTTGTGCACTGTGATGGGCACTCTGGTAAATTCAATTCAGTCAAAAAAAAGGAGGGTCATTTTTAGCATACATTTATAATCTTTAAAGCTAAAAGTTTACTCACGGTTGCTCGAGGCTTTCAGGGCCATAATTTTTCTGCAAAACAAAAAACACCAAAATGTAAGAATTTAACCTACTTTCAAACCTTTAGGAGCTGTTTGGTTAGGGGAATTTGAGATTTCTATAAGAATGGAATTTACATTCTCCCATTTGATTGGTCGGGGAATTTCATTTTCGATAACGTTTTATTACTAATAGTGAATTTTTTGTAATATATTACCGAAAATGTCATTACCCCTCTTCCCTTAGATATTGTTGGATTACCGGCGTTTTGGACTAAAATGCCCTTAATTTTTTTTTCAAAAATATTCTTCTTCTATCATTGAATAATAAAATTTTTACGAATGTTAAATTACAAATTTATCCTTAAACTATTTTAGATTTACAAAAAAGTCTATAATTAAAATTTTATATGAAGTTCAGGGGTTAAAATAAAATTTTACCCTTTCATTAAACATTTTTTATATTTTCAATTTTGTAAAAAAATATATAAATTTTATGAATTTAAATTTTTTAAAGAAAATATATAAATATTTTCTAACTTGTTAAAAAAAATAAATATATAATAAGGACAATTTGGTCAAATATACATTCCAATAATCTTTTATTCCTTTAACCAAACACGGTAATCTTACATTCCTTCTAAACCAACCAAACACAAAATACAACATTCCCAATAATCTTATTCCCTGACAATCTTTTATTCTCACTGGTAATCTTACATTCCGTGAACTAAAAAGCATCCTTATGAATAAAAAATTTAGGATTTAGGATTTTACTTGATCATAGTGATGACCTCCATGGCCATGTGATGCCATTACCTAAAACATAAACAGAAACCAAAGCTCAGTTGTGGATAATCGGATCTTATCTGAGGAAGAAGGCGATGAGACCCACCCATTGTTTGGAGCATAGAGATGGCAATGAGAGCCAAGAAGAAGGCAACAAGAAGTTTAGCCATTGGGGTTGAAGAAAGCAGGTAAGGGGGTTGCGGGGTATGAATAGATGAAAAAGGTTTGGTGTCCTCTACCCGATTTTTCAAAGCCCAACACCCTTAGATCCAAGCAAGTCTATAAAGTGAAGTCGAATTTAAATATTGAATCAAAAAGTTTAAAATTGAAATTGATTCACACGAAAGCTTGTGAATATATAATTATTAAGTTCGATTCAAATTTGAAATCAAAAATTAATCTCGACTGGAGCTCAAAATTAAACTTAAAATATTCTTATATTTAGCTCAATTAAAACATAAACTTAAGTTAGATTCAAACTCATACTCAAGTTTAAACTTAAATCTTAATTACATGAAAATCTTATATTATATTTAAAAAACAACATATATATGTTTTTTTAAGTTGTACGTGAGCTTTTCGAGTCATGTATCAAGTAACTCATTTAAGCTCATTAATAACTCAAGTTGAGTTCATTTGAATAAAATGTTAATTGAGCTTTAATCGAATCAAACTCGACTAACTTAAGATTTATCTCATCCAATTTACAATTCTAAATCCAAGGGTCATTAAAATACTTTATATTATTATATTTTTTTACTGGCACGAATTAGACTACTTCAACAGTTAAAGAGATAATCATTATTCCCGGATGTCCCGATTCAAACACCAGAGACTACAAAAATAATTAAATTTTCATTGTTAAATGATTAAGAATCCTTAAAATAGATTGTAATCAACAGATTAATCAAAGAATATTTTTTCACTAATTATATAGTTATTTCAGATTTAATTTATTTTTGATATATCATTATGTCAGTTATAACTATTGTAATAGGGGTTTGAAATAATGCAAAAGATGGGAATTTTAGAATATTTTATATCTTAGACTTAAATTCTGTGTAATTTTTTTAATTTTCGTTTTGATTTAAAATTTAACATGAAAATATTTTGTAAAAACTTAAGTTCAAATTTGAATATTTTAGACTTACTTTTGCGTCATTTCTCTCTGAACTTCATAAGAATTTCAAAACTCAAAGAACAAAACTTGATAGTTTTGAGATTATTTTTAAAATTTTCAGATTTATAATGTTTACCTCTTGTTTATCTTCTTTACTATATATTTTATTTTTTATTCAATTTAAAGATCTATTTTTTCATGAGATTATTGCACGTGTATGATTTTTCAACACAAACTTCTATGAAATTTGTGTTATTGAGAAAATTTAGGTCCTTTTTTTCCATAAATTAAACCCGTAAATCTAGGTTTGGGGTTCAGTTTAGATTTTTTTTTTTGATTTTATTTGTAAGCACCTATTTTTTCCGGGTCAACCCAAAATCAAACTTGAACCAATCTATCCGGACTCATTTACTATGTTAGCCTAAACTCAGGTCAACCAAATAACCCAAATAGTCTACTTCATCCAAACCCTAAATTATGAACCTTAACAATCCTAATCGGGTGAGTGTTCGATCGAGTTTAGTTAAAAAATTTAAGTTATTCGAGTTAACGAGTTATATTTTATAACTCGAACTTGATTTGATTTTTTTTCGAGTCAAGTTAAGTCTATAGAATTTTAGTTGAATAAAGTATGTTTAAATTTAATTATAAATATTTATAATATTATGATATTATTTCATTATAATTTAAACGATTTTTTATAACTATGTACAATACATATATATTTCTTCATTTTTTTCAATATGTGATATACATATATCATACAGAGTCGAGGTACTTGACTCAAACTTGAAAATTAATCCACAAGTTATTAAAAATATTGAGTTATTCAAATCGTATTTTATAACTCGGTTTGAACTTGAATTTTTTTTTCGGGTCGAGTCGAGTTTATGAAATTAAAACTCGAAATCAATTCGAGCCGAATTTTTTCAAATCAAAATTTTAAATCAAATCAAAAAAAAAAATCAATTTTCGAATCAAATAGAATTTTGCCCACCCATACTCGGAACTCTAGATGGTTCCGCTTGATGGTTCGATACTGGTTTTCGACTCTTTCTTCCCCCTGCTGCATACTCTCCTTCACCGTGACATTTACGGTCCTCCTTGTCTCCGTTTAAAGCGTTGAGTGTATCGGCTTCTGCCTTCTTTATTATTCAAAAAAAAAAGACTAATGAACATCTAGATTTAATAACATTCATAATAAAAAAATAATATTAAATCTGAATTTGATTTCTAATATTTATTAATTTTGTCTATTTTCAAATTATATTTTTTCTTATAAATGGAACAAAATCCAATCCTTACCTTCATTGTGAGAAAGATAAGACTAGTAACGATGGAATTGATGCTTATTGTGCTTGATTATTTATGTGCATAGTCATTATTTTGTTGTGATGAACTATCAAGGGAAAACAAATGAATATAGCAAGTTAGGCCATGCCAAGCACATGGGCACATAGTCCTACAGAAAGTGAAATTATTTAGGTCGTTAAGCCACAACAAACAAATCAGATTGATGGCATCTTTGAAGCTAACATTGGACCCTCCCCAAAATCATTGGTACAAGTTTGCTAGCTGTGCTCACTGCTCACCACATCTCATTTTCTGTAGACTTTAAACCCCCCCTTTTTTTCAATCATACATTTATGCCACTTGTATTCATATTAGTGGGCTTGGAAATGTGAATCTTTTATTTGCAGAAAGTAATGTAATTTTTTTAATTAACTACGTGTATTTAATATATTAATTGATTAATTCATAATAAATTTTGTAGAAGTTTATTATGGGATGATCTTTCCAACCCAATTCGTAATTGTCAGGATTTAAACTTTTAATTTTATTTAATAAATTCAGTGTCTCATCCCACTATATTAATTAATTATTAATAAATTATGTAAATTTTAATTATCTATATTCAAAAGTTAATATTCATATTCGTTTTAAATATATTGGATAATTGTTATATTATATTTGTTCTATTTTAATTCTTAAATTTAATATTTTTTTCTCTCTTTGATCTTTAAATTTAAATCTATATATAATTCAAATTTCGAGATTAAATTGAAAAAGTTTACCTCATTTAGGATTGATGATGGAAATAATTTGGTGGTGTCGATTACAAACGGTTTATCTTTTCTGATTTAGAGATAGAATAGCAACTGATGGTGCAACGATCGTTGTTTGATATTAAGGTTCTTTATTTTGTGACGAAGGAAAGTTGAAGTTAAGATTTCAGATGTTACGCCCCCTTCTCACAATATTGATCGAAAAGTTTTATAATGATCTTAAATTATTGTGTTAGACGAATGATCATAACGAAGGTTGACATAGACTCGATTGATATGATCATATAACAAATGATTTAGAGTACGTGGGACTTACTAAATGTTATATTAAAGGATCGTAGCTTTCCTATTAACAACATTTAACATTTTATATACCTTTTAGTTGCTAATCTTATGTTTTATTATTTGTTGAAAAAAGACACAGAGTTAGTGTAATAGTGATGGGGGCAACAAGTAGGGCCAATTGCACATGCTAAGTAGCTATTCACAAATTTATTAACTATAGAGGTCGATTTGGTAGATTTGTCAGAACGCCATTATTAAGGCTCATCACTTCATTTGTTTCCCTCCCAATTTTAAGGTTTAGTAATTTTCGTTAATTAAATTTTTAATACTTGTATTTTTTTATAAAATAATTTAAAATATTACAGATTTAATTATTTTTTTCGAGATTAAATATTTAGTATATTGAAATTATATTCAATTTTAAGTCGAACCCGACGCTATCGGCGCACCATTTTGGATCAAAAGAACTATTATTGGGCTGAAAATCCATCAGCCTACTTTTGATTTTATTGGGCCAAGCCTACTTCTGATTTTGACAATGCAATCAAGTATCCAACGTATTGAATTCTAAAATATTCAACTTTTTTTTTTATTATTTTGAAAATATTTAATTTTTAAACTCATGGATATGTGTGCTTTATGCTATTTGAATTCGGATTATTAAGGGGATTTTTTAACCATTCGCTGAATTCTAAAATATTAAACATATTTTATAAATATTAGGGGTTGAGGTTTTTCAGCCATCTCATTCCAAAGAAGCGGCACCAGTGATTCTTGCCGCACTTCCATGGACAAAGACCGTGTAATCATCACGGATGACCCCTCCTTTTTTATGAGCCATATATAGCTTAGCTGCCTACGATCTACATCCTCCTCGAAGTTGACTTCGTACTCGGGGATGGGTCGAACAGGATATATGGAGATTTTTTTATATTTTTCATTAAAAAAATTTCTTAAAATTTTATAAATACGTTTTTTTTTAATTTTATAAATTTGATTTCTGAATATTAAAATTTTCGTCCGTCTGTATTTTAACCGTTCATTCGGAGAAGGGGCTTCTAGCTGCTTCGGTGAAGGGAGAAAGGCTTCATTTGAAGATTGGAAAGCGCCTCCGCATAGAGTTTAGCAGCAACCACTCGGTGCTTGAAAACAGGTGTGTGGTTTGATCACCACAAACACCAAATAATGATTACCACAGCAATGGAAAATCCCAGTCTGCAATACATTTTAAAATAAAGTTCCAACAGATCGATTGGGTATTATTCATCATTCACTTGACTTAGACCCCAAGGGAGATTGGATCAAAACTTATAAGTGTCCGACTCTGTGATAGAAATGTTACCAGTTTACAATAACAAATTATTATGTATAAGATGTAGGATAAATTATTTATTTGGTATTTCTCTTATTTTTATGTTTTTATAAAATAAAGAAACGTTTTTCATAAAATTATTATGTATTTTAATACTTTAATTTTAATTTAAAATAATTTAATACATTCTCAATATAAGAAATCTATAAAAATTACTCGTTTATAAGATTTACATCAACATA